TTGAGTGAAAACCTCCTTCCATCAGCAAGGGCATTGAAGATGAAACGTGGCTGGGTCTTTCAGCATGACAATGATCCCAAACACACCGCCCGGGCAACGAAGGAGTGGCTTCGTAAGAAGCATTTCAAGGTCCTGGAGTGGCCTAGCCAGTCTCCAGATCTCAACCCCATAGAAAATCTTTGGAGGGAGTTAAAAGTCTGTGTTGCCCAGCGACAGCCCCAAAACATCACTGCTCTAGAGGAGATCTGCATGGAGGAATGGGCCAAAATACCAGCAACAGTGTGTGAAAACCTTGTGAAGACTTACAGAAAACGTTTGACCTGTGTCATTGCCAACAAAGGGTATATAACAAAGTATTGAGAAACTTTTGTTATTGACCAAATACTTATTTTCCACCATAATTTGCAAATAAATTCAAAAACAATCCTACAATGTGATTTTCTGGATTTTTTTTCTCATTTTGTCTGTCATAGTTGACGTGTACCTATGATGAAAATTACAGGCCTCTCTCATCTTTTTAAGTGGGAGAACTTGCACAATTGGTTGCTGACTAAATACTTTTTTCCCCCACTGTATATGCGGTAATGTTGCAATTATTTGGTTGTAATTTTGGGTAGAGCAGACATTTCCATATGTTTTTGTTAGCTGCATGTGCGACATAACTCCACCAGTCCTACCTATGATATCATTTACGAAGATTATACCTTTTTTAAACATTTTTTCAAAAAACAATGTTTTTTTAATCAATTTGTATATTTGAGTTTAACCACAATATTTGTTGCATTATTTGTTCTGTCATTTCTGGAGGATAAATTGAAATTGCAACCAACTTTCTATGACTTGTTTTAGAAATAGTGATATTTGGAAGATTATTTCCTTTTCAAATAACTGAAAGTGAGTGGTTGTAATCTGAATAAAGGGAAAAAGGCCGTTCTTGAACATTGGGTGAGACAATCTTACTAATTTGCTAGAGAACCAGTTAGGATGTAAGTATAACTTTTGTATGACTGAAGCTTTTAGTGATAGGTCTAATGTTTTAATATTTAATAACTTCTGTCCTCCGAATTCATATGCATTATATAAATAGACCTGTTTAATTTTGTCTGGCTTGCCATTCCAAATAAAATGGAATATTTTTTTCTCATATAATTTAAAAAACTGTTCGCTAGGCGTAGGCAAGACCATAAGCAAATAGGTAAACTGGGATAATACTAAAGCTTTAATCAGGGTGATTTTTCCACAAATTGACAGGTATTTACCTTTCCATGGTAGCAAGATCTTATATATTTTTGCTAACTTTCTATTCAAATGTATTGGAGTGAGATCACTTATTTAATTTACTCCGGGATGCTGACCTTCTAGGCAGAGTTGCAAAAAAAAAAGCCATATCTCAGACTGCCCATCTTAATCTTTTATTTTTATTGGCCATTCTGAGATATGACTTTTTCTTTGCAACTCTGCCTAGAAGGTCAGCATCCCGGAGTCGCCTCTTCACTGTTGATGTTGAGACTGGTGTTTTGCGGGTACTATTTAATGAAGCTGCCAGTTGAGGACCTGTGAGGCATCCGTTTCTCAAACTAGACACTCTAATGTATTTGTCCTCTTGCTCAGTTGTGCACTGCGGCCTCCCACACCTCTTTCTATTCTGGTTAGAGCCAGTTTGCGCTGTTCTGTGAAGGGAGTAGTACACAGCGTTGTACGAGATCTTCAGTTTCTTGGCAATTTCTCGCATGGAATAGCCTTCATTTCTCAGAACAAGAATAGACTGACGAGTTTCAGAAGAAAGTTATTTGTTTCTGGCCATTTTGAGCCTGTAATCGAACCCACAATTGCTGATGCTCTAGATACTCAACTAGTCTCAAGAAGGCCAGTTTTATTGCTTCTTTAAATCAGCACAACAGTTTTCAGCTGTGCTAACATAATTGCAAAAGGGTTTTCTAATGATCAATTAACCTTTTAAAATGATAAACTTGGATTAGCAAACACAACGTGCCATTGGAACACAGGACTGATGGTTGCTGATAATGGGCCTCTGTACGCCTATGTAGATATTACATAAAAAAATCAGCCGTATCCAGCTATAATAGGCATTTACAACATTAACAATGTCTACACTGTATTTCTGATCAATTTGATGTTATTTTAATGGACAAAAAAATTGCTTTTCTTTCGAAAACAAGGAAATTTCTAAGTGACCCCAAACCTTTGAACGGTAGTGTACTGTATTGTATATATTTGTAAAAAATAGATGTTCCTTTGTTATTTTCCCCTAACCCTACCACCCCTCCCTTAATTGGAGTAAACTAATGGACAACAACACTTAGCCTTCTACTTCCAGCTTATACAGTCGTGGTCAAAAGGTTTGAGAATGACACAAATACTAATTTTCACAAAGTCTGCTGCCTCAGTTTTGATTATGGCAATTTGCATATACTCCAGAATGTCATGAAGAGTGATCAGATGAATTGCAATTAATTGCAAAGTCCCTCTTTGCCATGAAAATGAACTTAATCCCCCAAAAAACATTTCCACTGCATTTCAGCCCTACCACAATGTCAGTGATTCTCTCGTTAACACAGGTGAGAGTGTTGACGAGGACCTGGTGTCAAGAAGGGCAGCAAAGAAGCCACTTCTCTCCAGGAAAAATATCAGGGACAGACTGATATTCTGCAAAAGGTACAGGGATTGGACTGTTGAGGACTGGGGTAAAGTCATTTTCTCTGATGAATCCCCTTTCCGATTGTTTGGGGCATCCAGAAAACACCTTGTCCGGAGAAGACAAGGTGAGCGCTACCATCAGTCCTGTGTCATGCCAACAATAAAGCATCCTGAGACCTTTCATGTGTGGGGTTGCTTCTCAGCCAAGGGAGTGGGCTTACTCACAATTTTGCCTAAGAACACAGCCATGAATAAAGAATGGTACCAACACAACCTCCGAGAGCAACTTCTCCCAACCATCCAAGAACTGTTTGGTGACGACCGATTCCTTTTCCAGCATGATGGAGCACCTTGCCATAAGGCAAAAGTGATAACTAAGTGGCTCGGGGAACAAAACATCGACATTTTGGGTCCATGGCCAGGAAACTCCCCAGACCTTAATCCCATTGAGAACTTGTTGTCGATCCTCAAGAGGTGGGTGGACAAACAAAAACCCACAAATTATGACAAACTCCAAGCATTGATTATGCAAGAATGGGCTGCCATCAGTCAGGATGTCGCCCAGAAGTTAATTGACAGCATGCCAGGGCGGATTGCAGAGGTCTTGAAAAAGAAGGGTCAACACTGCAAATATTGACTCTTTGCATAAGCTTAATGTAATTGTCAATAAAAGCCTTTGACACTTATGGAATGCTTGTAATTATACTTCAGTATACCATAGTAACATCTGACAAAAATATCTCATAACACTGAAGCAGCGAACTTTGTGAAGACCAATACTTGTGTCATTCTCAAAACTTTTGACCACGACTGTACATACTATATACATTTTACGGACACAGTATATTTTACAATAGTTATCTTGTATTTGTTTTTAGTCCCATCCTTCAGCTCCTCTCAACCCCTGGAGCGGTGGTTAGTAGTTAGAGAGGGCATTGTGTGGTGCAGCAGATTGGTTCTCTAAGGGTTGAGAGGACAAATGATTCCTCTGGCTCTTTTGGGGCTTTGGGCATGGGTTTGTTGTCTAAGGCTAGGCATTTGGAACAAATTATTTGAGAGAGAGAGCGAGAGAGAGAGAGAGAGAGCGCGAGAGAGAGCGAGAGAGAGAGAGATACCAATTAATGGGAGCCAGATGGTCAATGGTACTGACCCTCAGTCAGTCAGTCTCCAACAGAAGAAAGGTGAACGACAGGTGAGAGAGGAGGGATGGAGAGAGGAAGAGAGAGAGAAGGGAGAGAGAAGGGAGAGAGAGGAGAGGGAGAAGGGAGAGAGAGAGAGAGAGAGGAGAGGAGAAGGGAGAGAGAGGGAGAAGGGAGAGAGAGAGAGAGAGGAGAGGGAGAAGGGAGAGAGGAGCATGGGAGAAGGGAGAGAGAAGCAAGGGAGAGAGAAGGGAGAGAGAGGAAAGGGAGAAGGGAGAGAGAGGAGAGAGGGGAGAAGAAGGAGAGAGAGGAGAGGAGAGGGGAGAGGAGAAGGAGAGAGAAGGGAGAGAGAAGGGAGAGAGAAGAGGAGAGGGAGAAGAAGGGAGAGAGAAGGAGAGAGAGGAGGGAGAGGGAGAGAAGAGAAAGAGGGAGAGAGAGAGAGAGAAGCGAGAGAAGCGAGGGGAAGGAGAGAGAGAGGGAGAAGGGCGGAGAGCGAGGAGAGGAGAGAGGGGAGGAGAGCATTATAACCGACAACCGATTTTCCGGAAAGAAATTAAGCCTAATCTTGGACTCAAAAGCATGCTCAATGAAAATTCTGTCTGGAAAACTGACCCTGAATTTCCTGTTTGGCACTTTTCACCATACAGAGCTAAGCCAAGCCAAGCTGTACTGTAGCCTGGTTACACATCCACCATACTTGGATCCACTGTAACAGTGCTGGACAGGACAATGTGAAAAGAAAAGGAAATATAATCTCGGCCTCTAGCCGGCTCTCTCTCTGTCAAACCGTCTTGTTACACAGCGCCTAAAAAAGAGACTTGAATGGAAGCCTATGTCAGGAGCAGGAAAATCTCCCGCTCGATTTTCACCATATAGCATAACGTTCAGAACCTCCGCCCTACAGTTAGGATTTAAAAGGGGTGAGCTTTGAAATCCACAGTGTTTCCAGGCTCTATATGCATTAGCAATTGTCCCGTGTAGCTCAGTTAGTAGAGCATGGCGCTTGCAACGGTAGGGTTAGGGGTTCAATTCCCAAGAGGGACCAGAATGGAAAATGTATAGGCTCAATACTGTACGTTGCTCTGGTTAAGAGTGTCTGCTTTAAATGCAATTAAGCCTGATGATTGGGTTAGGGGTAACTCACTTGTGACACATCCCCTGGTGGTAGCCAGCATCCTCTGTTGAGTAGTATCCTGGGGCACAGGTCTGAACGCATCTCCACTCCTGCTGCAGGTGACCTCTGGCACACTGGATACACTCCTCCTTAGCTGGACCTACAGCAACAGTTCAAAACAAAAAAGGACTAGTCCATCTTTAGCAAAGTTCCGGTGTGTAAGAAATTCCCGGCTGATTTCTGCTTCCTGGTTCAAAGTACTTTAAACGGCTGTCCCCTGGACATGCGGTGGTGCCAGACCAAAAGTCAAACATGAAATGCAACGGGGGTCCGACCGCACTCAAAAATGATGATACCTTTCCTAATCCCAATAGCGACATATAAGAAATTGATACCATTTATTTATAAGTGAGGCCAGATACATTTTCCTAAAGGCATGTCTGGCTTGGCTTGTTTTGGGGACGAACAATCCCTTTAATACTCTCTCATTACAAATCAGTGCCAGGGCCTTGGTCGAGAGGTGAACCACTAATTCAGGTCCTCTACTACAGCAATAAGCGTCTCTCTCTCCTGGGTGTTGACGCTAAGTTCACTTGTTCCACACACACATGTGCACACACACAATCAAATCTAATCGCTCAGCTTTCTCTCCCAACAGCGTGTCTGGCTCTGTCTGTCAATACTGTTGGCTCAATGCAGCGCCAGAGCTTCACCAGCTAAATGTCAACTGCGTCCGACGGCCTAACCCCGGGACACAGCGCTCATAATTAGGGGCCGATTTAATGAATGTAAATCAATGAGCGAATCTACACCCATGTAGATCACAGACGTGAGATGTCAACGCTGTGCCGAAAGGGATGATCACGATAAGGAGAACTGGCAAGCAACCTTTTAGTTGGCGAATGAAGTTTTCATCCATTGTGAAATGATGGTATTTTCATGTCTTCTGACCATAGCACAGGTTCCAATCCAAGTGCCAGTGCCGTTTAGCAAACTCTAAACAAAAAGGCATTTATATTTGTTGGATGACTCGAAAATAGAGCTCTTTGGCCACGCACACAAGTGGCTCCGCCAGAAGGCTGAAACTTGGCCAAATGACAGTGCCTTCAGAAAGTATTAAAACCCCTTGACTTATTCCACATTTTGTTGTGTTATAGCCTGAATTCAAAATTGATTAAAAATTATTTTTTCCTCACCCATCAACACACAATACCCCATAATGACAAAGTGAAAACTTGTTTTTATACATTTTTGCAAATTTATTGAAAATTAACTACATAAATATCTAATTTACATAAGTATTCACACCCCTGAGTCAATACTTTGTAGAAGCACCTTTGGCTGCCATTACAGCTTTGAGTCGTCTTGGGTATGTCTGTATCAGCTTTGCACATCTGGATTTGGGGATTTCTCCAATTCTTCCTTTTCTCAAACTCTGTTAAGTTAAATGGAGAGCGACGGTGAAAAGCGATCTTCAAGTCTTTCCACAGATTTTCAATGGGATTCAAGGCTGGGCTTCGGCAGGGCCACTCAATGACCTTCACATTCTTGTTCTGAAGTCTTTCCAGCATTGCTTTGGCTGTATGCTTGGGGTCATTTTCCTGTTGGAATGTAAATCTTCGCCCCAGTCTAAGGTAATTTGCCCTCTGAAGCCGGTTCTCATCAAGGATGTGCCACTCTCCCATAAAGCCCAGATTGGTGAAGTGCTGAGACTATTGTCCTTCTGGCAGGTTCTCCCATCTAAGCCAAGGAACTCTATAGTTCTGTCAGAGTGGTCATTGGATTCTTGGTCACCTCCCTGACCAAGGTCCTTCTTGCCCGGTTGCTCAGTTTGGTCGGACGGCCAGCTGTAGGCAGAGTCTAGGTAGTTCCATATTTTTCCTTTTCCCAATGATGGAAACCAGTGTGCTCTTAGAAACTTTCAACACTCTAGAAATGGTTTTATACCCTTCCCCAGATATTTGCCTCATCACAAATCTATCTCAGAGATCTACGGACAGTTCCTTGGACTTCATGGTATAGTTTCTGCTATGACATGCACTGTCAACTGTGGGACCTTATATAGACAGGTATGTTACTTTCTAAATCAAATTGGCCAAATGTGGACTCCAATCAAGTTGTAGTGACATCTCAAGGATGATCAAATGAAATTGAATGCACTTGAGCTCAATTTGGAGTGTCTTAGCAAAGGGTTGTGAATGCTTATGTAAATTAGATATTTCTGTATTTCATTTTCAATAAAACGTGTTTTCACGTTGTCATTATGGGGTATTGTGTGTAGATGGGTGAGAAAATTCAGGCTGTAACACAACAAAATGTGGAATAAGTCAAGGGGTATGAATGCTTTCTGAAGGCACTGTATGTGCTAGAACATGGGAGCTGTTCTCAGCAGAACAGGTCAGTATGACAGTATGACACAGCAAGGTCACTCTGACACTATGACCTCCATATATGGGTCATATAGACCGTTGACATTTGATCCTGCCATTCATAAATTGTTCAATGGTAAGAGGACCATTGAGTGATAAAATGCAAACGTTCAAGTGTTTTATTGGCCCTTGAGTGTAATACTCAAAACTGCACTCCAAAAACCTGTCACGGAAACTATAACTGGTGGCTTCTCACACACACACACAGACAGAGAACTGGGGTAGTGTCTGGCCCCGTGTTTCTCTTGGACATCAGATGCTGTGTGCCCAGCGCTTTGCCTTCTCTGGTCCCAGACACAAGGCCCCTTCCCCCCAGACTCCTGCTAGCTTCATCTGTCCTTCTAGAAACATCCAGTGACTGGGAGGAAATATCTGTCTAGGAATATCTGTCTAGACTTAAATTAGAGCACACACACACATACACACACACACACACAAGCAACCTGGTTGCTTTTCTCTGCCTGGAGGCTGAAACTTGGCCCCAAGTGGATCTTCCAGCAAGACAATAAAACTCAAGTACACATCAAATTCCACAAAAAAAGTGTTAATTAACCACAAAATAAACATTTTACAATGGCCATCTAAGTCTCCGGACTTGAACCCAATTGAAAACCTGTTGTTTGAATTGAAGAGGGCAGTCCATAAGTGCAGACAAAGGATATCAAGGATCTGGAAAGATTCTGTATGGAGGAATGGTCTAAGATCCCTCCCAATGTGTTCTCCAATCTCATAAAACATTTTACAAAAAGGCTCAGTGTCGTTACCCTCGTAAGCAGAGGGTGCCGGAGTATTGCAAACAGGGATGCCAATAATGTTGACCCCTATCTTTTTGAGAATTGTTTCTATTACTTGTTAAACAAAATATATTTTTCTGAGCAATTGTATTAGTATAAAATAATATTGGAGCATACAATATAGCTCAGTATTTGTATTATTTATTTTTTGCTCATTTTTACGAAAGAAGTCATAGATTGCAGAGCTCAGTTGGTAGAGCATGGCCAGGATAGTGGGCTTGATTCCCGGGACCACCAGTACCTGAAATATATGCACGTTTGCCTGTAAGTCGCTTTGGATGAAAGCATCTATAATATTATTATAATAAGTACCTAGTAAACCCATTATGGCTTCTTTACTCTTTGGTGACAGGGACACTTTTTGATGACAGGGAGACTATTTGGTGACAGGGACCATTTTTGATGACAGGGAGACTATTTGGTGACAGGGACACTTTTTGATGACAGGGAGACTATTTGGTGACAGGGACCATTTTTGATGACAGGGACACTTTTTGATGACAGGGACACTTTTTGATGACAGGGAGACTATTTGGTGACGGGGACACTTTTTGGTGACAGGGAGACTATTTGGTGACACCTTTTGGTATCAGGGGCACCTTTTGGTAACAGGGACACTATTTGGTGACAATAACACTATTTGGTGACAGAGAAACTATTTGGTGACAGGGACACTACTTGGTGACAATAACACTATTTGGTGACAGAGAAACTATTTGGTGACAGGGACACTTTTTGGTAACAGGGACACTATTTGGTGACAGGGACACTTTTTGGTGACAGGGACACTATTTGGTGACAGGGACACTATTTGGTGACAGGGACACTATTTGGTGACAGGGACACTTTTTGGTGACAGGGACACTATTTGGTGACAGGGACACTGACCTGTGCAGGTAGAGCAGGAGGTGTGACAAGGACTACACTTCATCTGCTCCAGATGAAAGAAGGTTCCGTTGGCACACTCCGGAACACAGGTCATCCCCGCCAGACTGCAGACACACACGCACGCACACGCACACACACACACACACACACTTAAGTTCTCTACATTACATTTGTCATCAGTGACATCCCCTAAAGAGATCACAGGTAGTTTACCTGTAGCCTTCGTTACAGGCGGTACACCTGTCTGAGTCCCGCAGACACTTCATACAGTTCTCATGACACCTCAGACACTTCCTCTGAACTGTGGGGAGGGAGGGGCAGGAGAGAGAGGAGATGGGAAGAGAGCGTGAGAAATAAATGTAGTTAGCCATTTTTAACTCAGTACAGTACTCAGAGGACTGCTCATTCAACCACCAAACAACTCTCTCTCTCTCTCTCTCTCTAAAGCAGCGAAGTAACTGGGGCCTGGCGAGTTTGGAGGATTTATAGAGGAAATACAATCCAACAGCATAAAAAGACCTCCGTAAAATGAGCCTGCAACCCACACCCACCCACACGGGCAGACTGGGATAAAAAAAATCGGCCCTGGCATTTCTAACACACCGGCCCACTTATTTCCTTGACCCCACACCATCCCTTCTTTTCAGCCAGGTCCCCATTAATAGCCAGATAGTGATCATTTTGTGCAAAAAAAAACAAGTTAGACAGGCCCACTGGGGCACAGTTTGGCTGCAAAACAGATGAGAGGCACTGTGAGTGCTCTGTACGTCAGAGAGTTTCTCAGGTTATGACAGATGACGTCAATGCGCGCTCGCCTGTGTGTGTGTGTGTGTGTGTGTGTGTGTGCGTGTGTGTTATTCACAGATCAACACATGAACCCACTCTACCATACTCAGTTAATCCCTGGCATCCAGAAGAACAGACGGCGTGGGAGTTGAACTTTGACCTGTTGTGTGGTCACAAAAAACCCTCATCACATCAACCCTTTTGAGCTGCAAATTCCCCTTATTCCCTTCTATAGAAAATATCTTCACACACTCAATCTAACTGTTACCATGTTACAAAGCAGATTCTATGTTAATACAATGGTATTACTACAGTTATTACTGTGTAGTTAAATAGGCATGAGGGCAACTTAAGGTAAAGTAGTACACTAATAGCTGAGCTAGCTAGGGTAAACTGATCCTAGATCTGTGGTTAGGAACAACTTTTTCAACCTACTCCACTCAACTTACTGTCGTCAGCGAAGTACCCGGCAGGGCAGGTCTCAGAGCAGGTAGCGTTGAGGGGGTTGAAGTAGAGCCCCCTGCGACAGGAGCGACACTCGGTGGGGGTGCGACCCACACACCTCTCACAGCCCTTGTGACAGCGTCGACACCTCCTGGCCTCTGAGTCATCGTAGAAGCCCAGCGGACAGTGGCTCACACACGTCCTGTCATGGATTGACTGATTGATGAGTTATAGTTACAGTACAATGAGTTGATAATACAGTAAAAACACACATTAGCCGATTTGTAGAGACTGGCTATACTGTATTTCACAAGTCCTGGGATGGATGAATGGATGGATGAATGGATGGATGAACGGATGGATGAACGGATGGATGAACGGATAAATGGATGGATGAACGGATGGATTTATTCATTCAAAAGGACCTATTCCCCATATACTCGATCTGTTCATTATTTGAAATGTAACCTCTCTACAAGTTGGCAATTGTTTATTTTACTATTTTATCTAATCAATTAAATTGATTAATGAATTTCACAAACAACAGATCAAGTAAATGGGGAAAAGTCCCTTTGAATGAATTAGTTAGAAATACATTACTACAACATCATAAAAAGAGGGCAAGTAGATTTGATGTCCCGTTCATTATTCCTATATTAGATTCATTATTCCTCTCCTGTAATCATGTATTAGAAGTATTATGGTAGTACTGTTTTATGGTACAAAAATGACCTGAGATTTGCTAGGAAATAAAGAGGTATCAAATGGTACTTTCTGGCATTTAATTCGAAGAATGTCACATAATTGGTAACTACCTGGTACCAAATGGTGCCAATGTGTTCTTTGGTTGGAGTCTCAAATAAACAAATAAGTATTCATAGGTTATTATTGTGTAATTACCATTTTACCATATCATTTCCAAGTAATACCAGGTCATTTCTAAGTCAATACCAGGTCATTTCTAAGTCAATACCAGGTCATTTCTAAGTCAATACCAGGTCATTTCTAAGTCAATACCAGGTCATTTCTAAGTCAATACCAGGTCATTTCTAAGTCAATACCAGGTCATTTCTAAGTCAATACCAGGTCATTTCTAAGTCAATACCAGATCATTTCTAAGTAAATACCAGATCATTTCTAAGTCAATACCAGATCATTTCTGTACCGTAAAATAAAGAGCTACCGAAGTAATACAGGTTTTCTGAATATGAATAAATAATGGACACTCCTCAAAATGCTCCCACTCCTCAAAATGCTCTTGTGCCTTCCTATCTTGATGTTGCCCAGAAACAGAACAATAAGGATTCACTGAGTTTGAATCAGATATGGTCACAGCACAGATAAAAGAGGAAACCAAGATCGGTCACAAATCTGAAGCATCCGGTGGGGGCTTCCAATCACCACCAAACATGGTGATGAGAGGAACTCCAGTGCCAGACAGAGAGAGAAGATGGAGTGAGATGAAACTGGGCGAACATTCCGCACATTTTCTCATACTGTATATGAAACCTTCAGCGGTTCCTATTGTAAAAGGCCCATCTGTCCCATCTTGGGTTAGTTAAAAGTATCTTTGGTCCCAGTCTGTTTACCTGCCTGTCTTGAGGCTGCCCAGGCTGTAGTGGATACAGTTCAGACAGTGGTCAGGATCTGACCCATCACAGCCCTGGTCCCCACACTCACTGTGACATGGCCCTGAGAGGGGTTACAGAGAATACATACACAATCACACACACACGCACAAACGCAAGCACACACACGCACAAACACACACACACACAGAGGTTAGACGGAGGTTGAGGTGTGTTGTCGGACTACGGTGTTGTAACAGTTCAGGGCAAACAGTTTATGGCAGAGCCTCTCCTACCGCTGTACTCCTCCTCTTCCTCCTCCTGGTGCTTGACGACCTCCGGGGCCGGTTCGGGCCCTTTGGGGTCCTGGCTGGGTGTTGGGATCTCCAGCATCCTGGAGCGAGAGTGCTGGGTCCCGTGAGACTGGTACGGGTGCCCCGAGGTGCCATAAAGGACCAGCGTCCACTCTTTTAGTTTACCTAAAACAAGGAGAAGAAATCTCCATAAAAACACAGTATGAAGAGATCTCTCTGTGTTTATGTGTGTGTGTGTGTGTGTGTGTGTGTGTGTGTGTGTGTGTGTGTGTGTGTGTTTGTTCTTACCCAGCACCTCTGGGTTGCGTAGCGATGAGGGAGAGTCTATGATCTCCAGGATCCACTGGCCCTCTGCCCTCTCCCCCCAGCAGTGAACAGTCATGAACTCCCAGTTCCTAAAACCTTCATTAGAGTTATCAAACAACCTGGAGAGAGAGAGACAGTGGGGGGAGAGAGAGAGAGTGGCGGGGAGAGCGAGAGAGAGAGAGAGAGAGTGGGGGTTGAGAAAGTAAGTCACCTCTAAACTTCTAAGGCAATTAAATCATGTTCCGCAGCGCAAACAGACAAATCTTAATCTTTCTCAGCCCCCCTGATGAAAAATATTTAATTATTCAAAGAGGCTAATAAAAGAGAAATGTAAGCATTGGCTGCTTTAAAGCTCGCCACGTCAGCTCCATCCCTCAGCTGTTTCCCCAAAAAAGTGGTGGGGTGTCGGCTTTGTTGCTGTTTGAAATCCAGATTGACCCTTTACAGGAGAGGAACAGAGAAAGGACAAATTGGAAAGGACATCAATGTCCTGGGGTTGGTCTAGCAGTTAGCACTGTCAAGCACTGACATCACACCTTCCCGGAGATCTAAAGCTAACTTTCGCTCACAGAGTGACGGTCAAGTCTCTTGCTCTGTTGGCTAGGACGGTTGAAAATTATGAATATTCAAAATAAAGGGAGAAAAAAAGGACATCCAACCTTTTGAATATCTGTCAGCCAGCCTGTATAATTATATTGATGAAACAAATGGGAATCTGAACAGCAGCCAAGCCAGCAGGTTTCTGCATCTATACATGAGAAAGAGCCCTCACATCAGCACCGGAGCCAACTGTCAGAGGAGGGTGTTACATATTCCAACAACTACCTGCTGAACAGGTGTACTAGAATGGATTTAAGGGCTATCTGTCTGTCTGTGTTGGTGCCACATGCTGCGTAGAGGTAGTTCACGTCCAAGGGGCTAACTTCTCTCTTCAGCGGTGTGTGTGTGTGTGTGTGTTCTCTTTGAACTAGCTTGCAGTTTGAATAAAGCTACAAAATCTCTCTCTCTGTCTCTCTCTCTCCCTCACCCCTTCTCTCTTTCTTCCCCTCTCACTCGCTGTCAGGGGACATAATCAGCAACAGCAATACCTCCCTTTACACACTGCACCAATCTGGCAACGCACAGTTCATACCCAATCTGGCAACCAGCCCAAGCTGCAAATTAACTCTGTTTACTTCGAGTCCAAAATGACTCCTCACTGCGCTACTGCTAGCTAGCTATGTACATTACAATATATTACATTACACCAGGCAATCTACAATCATTTTACTTTAGGAGATGAGTCGGGAGAAGGGGATTGAACCATTCCCATTCCGGGCCATTGGGAGAAAATGAAAGCGTAAATCTGTCAGGTCCCGCCGGTGGTAAAGGGTTTTAATGGATGGGTTCTGTGAGGTCCTCCTGACCACTGCTTTACCCCTCACACTCTAACTCAAGCCAAATGTCTTGGCTGGCAATCTGGCAACCGCGGAGACATAACGAAGGAGAGGATGCTTTATTAGTATCCGCCCGATGGAAACAGGAGAGAGAGAGAGAGAGAGAGAGAGAGAGAGAGAGAGAGAGAGAGAGAGAGACAGAGACAGAGACAGAGACAGAGACAGAGACAGAGACAGAGACAGAGACAGAGACAGAGAGCTGAAACATGGGCTCGCCAAACATAGGTGACATCATCTGCCCGCTTAAGAGCACTTGAAGTGAGAAAAATATTGCCCAATACAATCGTAACCTTTTATAAAGACAGGACAGCACTCAATCCAAGATTAGTTTGGGAAAACCAACTCATATCATGTTATACCCATATGGGGATCTAGGGAGGCGAAAAGGGGATGATGTTCAATCACAAACATTATCTATATGTCTCCAGATTTACACAAAACAACCATTCATATGTAACGAACCTTCCCTAAGACTTGTTTTGATCTCCCCTGAGGGGGTTAACCCTATTATGATTATTTACTGAACCTTTACTTAGCCAGTGAGTCATGCTGAGATCACGGTCTCTTTTGCAGATGAGCCCTACATGAATACATCAATACACAGCAATTACACCATACATATGTACAGTATATACACATGAATAACTCAGCACACGAAAAGCTAAACACAATCACATGAAACAAACACATTCTTCAATAAAAAGGCCCTCTAACGTCCACCTGAATTGCCCTAGAGGCACCAACTTTTGGAGAGCATTCCATAAATTGGAGCAGAGGTTAGCAAGTTTGCCTACGGGCTGGGAGACCTGGGTTTGAGACCCGCAAGGGACGTTGCAGTTTGCCACAATACAGTATATCATGTCAGTAAAACTTCTGCATATCAGGGGTGTATTCACAGGGGGGGGACTTAACTAAACTTATCCAATAAGAAAGATTGGTTTTTCGATGCAAACGTTTTCCTGTTTGCACTAATGAATACACCCCTGCACACCAGCCTTGATGGAACAAAGCCCCTGAGTGTTTGATCACTAGAGGCTCAGCACTGCTTTAGAATGGAAACTCATCTTGAAAGTAAAAGCCACTTGTGGAAAGTAATGGTCAAAGTGTACCAAGCCAACGTCAGAACAACAAGGAATGAATAGAGGGAAACAAAGGGACTAGCTGAGCATGTGGCTGCAGGGGGTGTGTGTGTGTGTGTGTGTGCGCGCGTGTGTGTGTGCGTGTGTGTGTTTGCGTGTGTGTGGCTGCAGGGAAAAAGTGAGCCGTTTTGAAGTTGACTAACATCATTATGGCGCTCTGTGGAAAATAAAAGGAGACTTTGTGATTTCCCCAGACATAAAACTGAAAGGTCTATCTATTCTCCACTCCAAAATACACTCTGTTGTTCTACTATTCATGAAGAGATGAGAAGAAGAATCATTCAGTCCCCATATGGGTGTGTGTGTGTGTGTGTGTGTAACGGTCCAAACAGCACTGGGAGGATACCAAACGAAGAGGATCAGGGGCCTGAGAGAGAGGGGAGAGATGGGAGAACAAACCCAGACAACTTTAGTGAGGGATGGGGAAGCTGCTTGACTCTGACAGGGATTTCAGCTACGAGATCAGTGTGTCCTGCCTGCCTGCCTGCCAGGCCACAGGGTGTGTGTGTGTGTGTGTGTGTGTGTGTGAGTGAATGTGTGTGTTGCAGATGTGATTTGGAATCACGCTGTCGTGAAGAAGTAGCCCTGCCTACGACTGTAAGCCCAATGTCAATCTCACATCAGGAAGGAATTTCCTCTTGGTCTAATGGTAAAGACGCTGGTTTCTAGAGCGGTAGGCCGAGGTTTGTGTGTGTGTCCGTGTGTATCTCTCACCTCTTGGCCAGTAGCTGTGAGCGTGTTCCTGAGGGTGATATGAGGTTGATCTCCAGATCTCCTCGTCGTGGATGGACAGTCAGTACTCTGACCACCACATGTTCCACGTAGCTGACATGCTGCTCCGCCTGCTCGGCACACCCTGTGCTAGTGATGGTGCTGTTCAGGCTCTGGTCTGCACGGATGTACCTGGCAGGAAGGAAAACAAGGTCAACTAGTTAGTATGTGTGGGCTGGGTGGTCGAGCAGTAAGTGCTGCTGCCCCTTGCACACAAATATAGAGGTGTGACATTGGTTCAAATGTGACCTACTGCCCTGTGACACGTTGTCCTTTTATCTTTCCTTGACACGTTATTTTTCCTATTTGTCAACATGTCACTATCTGTTCAATAAAACCAGAAAATACGGAGCAAAAATAGCTGGTATGTAATGTAATGCACATAATTTGCAAAGGGTGATGGGACAAAACAAATCTTGAAATCAAATCAAAGGTTATTTTATTTGTCACGTGTCGAATACCACGGGTGTAGACTTAACGGGTGTAGACTTAACTGTGAAATGATTGCTTACGAGCCCTTTCCAACGATTTAGAGTTTAAAAAATAATAATAAAAAGAAAAAGTGGAATAAGATATACAAGAATGGAGCTATATACAGGGAGTACCAGTACTAGATCAATGTGGAGCTACAGTGAGGGAAAAAAGTATTTGATCCCCTGCTGATTTTGTACGTTTGCCCACTGACAAAGAAATTATCAGTCTATAATTTTAATGGTAGGTTTATTTCTACAGTGAGAGACAGAATAACAACAAAAAAATCCAGAAAAACGCATGTCAAAAATGTTATAAATTGATTTGCATTTTAATGAGGGAAATAAGTATTTGACCCCTCTGCAAAACATGACTTAGTACTTGGTGGCAAACCCTTGTTGGCAATCACAGAGGTCAGACATTTCTTGTAGTTGGCCACCAAGTTTGCACACATCTCAGGAGGGATTTTGTCCCCCTCCAATTTGCAGATCTTCTCCAAGTCATTAAGGTTTCGAGGCTGACGTTTGGCAACTCGAACGTTCAGCTCCCTCCACAGATTTTCTATGGGATTAAGGTCTGGAGACTGGCTAGGCCACTCCAGGACCTTAATGTGCTTCTTCTTGAGCCACTCCGTTGTTGCCTTGGCCGTGTGTTTTAGGTCATTGTCATGCTGGAATACCCATCCACGACCCATTTTCAATGCCCTGGCTGAGGGAAGGATGTTCTCACCCAAGATTTGACGGTACATGGCCCCGTCCATCGTCCCTTTGATGTGGTGAAGTTGTCCTGTCCCCTTAGCAGAAAAACACCCCCAAAGCATAATGTTTCCACCTCCATGTTTGACGGTGGGGATGGTGTTCTTGGGGTCATAGGCAGCATTCCTCCTCCTCCTCCAAACACGGCGAGTTGAGTTGATGCCAAAGAGCTCCATTTTGGTCTCATCTGACCACAACACTTTCACCCAGTTCTCCTCTGAATCATTCAGATGTTCATTGGCAAACTTCAGACGGGCCTGTATATGTGCTTTCTTGAGCAGGGGGAC